AAGCAACAATTGGGAGAGTGCGAAGTCATATGTATAATGGTAAGTCTAGACATATACGTCGAAGACATAATACCATTAAACAACTACTCACAACGGGTGTTGTCTCTGTTGACTATGTGAGCAAAGATGTTGTTGAGAAGTTGGCACGAGGAATGGGTTTGAAGCCCATGGAATAAAAGTTCTATAGTGGACACCTAACCTAGCTGGCACCTAGGTTCAATGGGACAACTAAATTATGGAACGAAGCGTGTCACTGTGGGGGTCTCGGACTCCATACCATTCCTCGTAAGAACAGTGACTCCCGCATGAGGCTAGCATGTTGATGCTTTAATGATTCGAATGTCGGTTGACATGTGTGAGTATGCGGGATACTCGATAAAGAATCACCTATGTTAGAGACAAGTGGGGTCGCTTCAAAGGAGAATTGATGGGCTCAATTCTTTAGAAACTCTCGCAGAACCAGGAAAGTGACCCATGACCAAAACGGGCACACCCATGAGAACAGAACAAAGGTTGGAAGGTTCCTGTGTGGGATATGTCATCGTCTACACAAACGGCAGTTGGTTCAAAGACATCAAGTTCTACCATACAGCCAGTAGAGTAAACATATTTTCACAAGGCAAGGGGAAAGGGTAACACCTACCTATGCTATGCAGGGATCGACTGTTGAGCACGTTCGTGTCGATTTTTCCTCGTCCCGAAAATCAATTTTCATTCATGTGGGGGATTGTTGGAATTTTTAGCTAAAAATGGCATTTTGAGTGATTATTTTGTGGTACAAATATATGTGGGGTCCATTTCCGATTTGGGTCGGGTCAAAGTGGATTCGGGTTCTTCGTAGTGAGACGAAGAATTTGATATAATGTACGCTCAAAATGGATAATAGGTGAATGAGAAATTGATTCTCAAAGTGAACCTATTTGAGAGAAGTCAACAACTTAAACCTATTGTTTAGTGGCTAATTAAGATTAGCACTAATCTTGATGCTAATTACTTAGCATTCACGAAAGAATGCTTGTAATTAAGCTTTGGAAAAAGGTTAAGTTGCAATTAAGCTTTTGAAAGCTTGTTTAGTGAATTGGGAAATTAACTTTCGTGCTATGCTTTGTGCATGGACGAAAGTTGTGTATGAATTGAGCTTCATCTTTGGATTCCAAAGCAGCTCATTTCGTGCTGTGGATTTGGTGTGCACGAATCAAATGCTATATGCATTCATTCGTGCTGCACCGTTTCGGTGCTTGCGGACCACTCGGGTGTGGTTTCCGGTCCCAATTCGTTAAACCTTCGGGTTTGTACGGACTTCTCGGTCACTCAGATATTTTGAAACGGGTCGTTATGATCAGTACGAATTAATCGCGTATTAAGTTCGTGACCGTTGATATTATTTCGATAATAAGTACGACCGTTTCGAACGTTATAATTCAATTATAAAATTGAATTTATGTTGGATTAATGTGCCATTATAAGCTTTTAACTCCACTCTTCCGTACAAATACATGATGTTAGCAGATTGTTGTTTTCACTCCGTTTGAGAAATCAAAAGCCTCATTTTCACTTCTCTCTATGCTCATCCTTTGTTTCAAAGAGAAAAGTTTCTGCCAACATCTTCCGTAAAACATCGGAGTGCTCAACTTGTGTTCTAGTTCGCCGGGCTTTGGGTTGGAGTGCTCGAACGCCAAAGTCGTAGTCCGTTTTATCCTGGGAGACTGACGCCACAATGGTCCTAGCACCCTCGGGAGGTGGCGAATCGATTTTAAGGAGAGTGTGTGTACACACGACTCGGGCTTCCTCTGCTACTTCTTTCTTCTTATTGGGTTAAAACCTCAGGTTAGAAACCCGTATCTTGTTTATTTTTTGTTCTTGGTTTCGGACCAAGTGGTGGGATTAATCTCGGATAGATTAAATCCTTGTACTAGTTTCGTACTAGTTGTGGTGGGATCAATTTCGTGGAAATTAAGTCCCGTGTACTAGTTTCGTGTTAGTTGTGGTGGGATTATTTTTGATAAAATAAATCCCTATTTGGTTAATATATATATATATATATATATATATATATATATATATATATATATATATATATATATATATATATATATATATATATATATATATTGTATATGTATGAAATTTTGGTTTCGTACCAAAATTGGTTGGAATTAATTTTTTATAAATTAAATTCCTTTTTCCGGGACAAATATATATTATATATATATATTTTGTGTATAGATTTATTCACCAATTTCCAACACCCTAAACATGAGAATATTTTATATTTAAAAAAATACAATTTGATAAATATCATAAATTAATTATTGCAATATCATTTGGGATGGCAATGGATCGGGTGTGGGTCGGTGAGGACTACATCCATCACCCGACCCACCTTATATTTTCTCCACCAACCCCCACCCTCAACCCGCATCGGGTGGACTTGTTCAAAACTCACCCCCACTCACATCCGGTGCGAGTGCCCACGGGTACCAATAACTTATAATCTTATTATTAATTTATTCAAAGAATAATATTTAAATTACCTATACATAATAAAATAATAAAAATCATTAGTTATATAAAACATAAAATAATATGAATATTTAAATATAATAACTAAATTGTTAATTTTTAAAAATAAATTTAATAGTTTAGATATAAAAATAGTAAAAATTTACATGATGTTATAATTTTTTTTTTATAAATAACTACATGGTGGGTCGGGGGGGTTCTAGGCGGGTTTTGTACATAGAACCCGAATCCAACCCGACCCACCACGGGTTTATTTTTTTAAGACCCACCCCGACCAATCATACTCTACCACCCAAAAAAACCCGATCCATGCGGGGTGGATTCGGGTGGATATCCACGGGGCGGATTGAAATTTCCATCCCTAAATATCATTTATGTTTACAATGAGAATAATTAAAGAAAAAATAAATAATTCAAATATGTGAACCAATGATTTCAAAATGAAATTAATATACAGTTACAAATAAATATAGCATGATTAGATTTACTTTAATTAGTTTTAATTTTTTAGTGAAATGACTTTAATAAAAGTAAAATCCTCCTTTACAACATTCCAACCCAAATTAAAATGAATATTTATTAATTAGTAAAAAATTAATAAAGCTTAATTAGTAACAAAATTTTATATGAAAAATTAACTAATATCTAATGAATTTTTACCACATATTAAAGTCAATATGTACATAAAAATAGAAAATGGTTACCAAATTCTGAGAATAATTAAATTATTATAATTGTGAAACTAATGGATACAAATTCTGCGTAACAAACGAGAAAATTCGATTGAAATTCTACATAATTTTATAAAGAAATAATAAATTATTAATTATTATTTACACCAATTTATACTATTAATAAAATTAAAATCCCCATCTTTCACATTCCCGTCCAAATTAATATGAATATTAATTAATTGGTAAAAAATTAATAAAGCTTAATTGGTAACAAAATTTTATATGAAAATTAACTAATATCTAATGAATTTTTATCACAAATTAAATTTAATATGTACTTAAAAATGGAAAATGGTTATCAAATTCTAAGGATAATTAAACCATTATAATTGTGAGAATAACGGAAACAAATTCTGCATAATAAATGAGAAAATCCATTTAAAATTCTATGTAATTTTGTAAGAAAATAATAATTTATTAATTATTATTTACACCAATCTATATCTATACTATTAATAAAAGTAAAATCTTCAATTAAAATGTCTTTCACCCATTTGATACGAGATTGCCTTTCAAGTTCTAACGAAAACAATTCTAGTTGATGCTCGCATATGTCAGGACTATCAATAAAAGTCAGGGTCAAATACTAACTCACATTGAGTTATTACTAAAAAAACCAGTCTTTAATCACGGTTAATTGTTTATGATTTTTTCCTGACTCACCCATCCTGATGGTCTGATGGTTTTAACTCTAGACGAGGATGAGTAAAATTTCGTTACTACCAATGTCGTCTACAAAGAGATTTTTAATAATGTATAATTATTGCCCAATCGATATTATGTTTTTTTTTTTTATATATACAAAGATGACAAAATTGCTATAAATCTACATAGAAAATATATCTTCCGTATAAATAACTAATAAACTGAGTTGCTAGACAACGAGCTAATTAGCCCAATTAATACAAATTCTAAACATTGATATATAAAATCTCTAAAGTTGCCACACCGAATGCGTATATCTACACGTTAGCTATTAATTGGGCAATTATTTACTCGAATTCAAGAATTGATAATATCAGAAAACATAATCGATGCAACTCAATTCTTCAATTATATTATATAATATTCGATGTTATAATTTATACAATTGTATATCGATCTAAATATTTTTAAAATTTTATAACAAATTTATTTCGTGCAACGGACTGGCGCAAATACTAGTTATAGATAAAAAGATTTTTTTTTTTACTACAATCTATAGAACCTGTGACTAGGGGTGGGAATAGGCCAGGCCCCTTGTAGGGGCATATATCCTGGCCTAATTAAGGCCTAGCTTGTTTAGTAAAAAGGCGAGGCTTAGGCCAATTTCAATGCCTATTAAACTAAACAGGCCAGACCTATATATACCAGGCTCGTCCTTCAGGCCTGGCCTATATATATATATATATATATATATATATATATATATATATATATATATATATATATATATATATATATATATATATATATATATATACCTAATATATTTTTATATTTACAATATAACTCCAAGTATAAATAATTACCTAACCGGATTTATTGTAATTTAATAATATGATTATTTTTAACAGGTATATATTAAAAGGCTTTAAAATGTAGGCCTTACATAGGCTCAAAGCCTATTTAAATAGGCTCAAATCCTATTTAGGACCGACTTTGAAGCCTTTTTAAAAGCCTATTTATTAAATATGCTCTTAAAAAGGCTTCAGGCAGGCTCAGGCTTGAGCTAAAAAAAAAGCCTACATACAGGCCCAGATCCAAGCCTAGGCTTTAGATTTTCCTAACAGGCCCGTGTCTAATTTTCTAAATCCCGGCTCGGCCTAGCCTATTTCCACCCCTTCCTGTGACCTTTCATTTGGAATGGTAACAGTGATGCCATCAGATAACAAGATATTTTTCTAGATAAAAAGAGTTTAATGAATATGCTAGTAAGACAACATTTATATTAGCGTAGCACTAGTATTTTATATGCGCGATGCGCAAAAATATATGCCCTATATTAATATTCAATGTTAAAATCTTAGTTATATTACAATATTTTTTAAAATAATAGTGTGTGTGTGTATTTATTTTTATTTATTTATTTATTTATTGTTGTAGAATTTATATTAATAATATTGAAGTAATAATTATGGAAATGATAAATTACTAAATATAATTATGGTTACATTTAATTAAAATCTTATTGAAATCAAACTTACTATTGAATTGAAGAATGTAAGAACAAATATTGTGTATGCATATGCTGGTAATAATAATGTGAAAAGATAACAGAAATTATAAATGATAGTGCAAAGCCAAGAAAAGCTATTGATTTTGTTTTCGGATCGGCAACCGCGATGATGGTGGTGAGGATGAGGAGGGAGAAAGTAGCGATTTTTTTTCTGAGTTTGAATGAGTAAACAATGAAACAAGTCATCAAATTATTTTTATTTAATTCCATGTCAGCATTATGGAAGGATTACCTGATGGAAAGCTAGAGAAAATGCTAAGCGAACACATTTTTAAAGTAAATGTGTCCAATTAAATCTTATTTTAGAACAAGGGATTAATTGCAAGTGGTAGATGAGACTATTTGACACTTCTACCTTTTTATATTGATCATAAGTTTAATCGTGCATCAATGCACTTATTATACGTACACAAACTTATATCTACTATACTAATAAGGGTCAATAAAGTTGGACCTATAATGTGAACTAAAAAAATGTCCGTCCAATTATTTGATGAAATGAATAGTTCAAATTATTTTGATTTTAATATATATTTTTTAAAATTTTTCCTACTTTACCCTCTATTATATTATTTTCTTAACTTAAATAACCTCGCATTCCATTAGTATAAAATTTAGTAACGAAATATTCCGTTAACTATTTATTATTCTCAACTTACTTATAAATTTCTATAATAAAGATAAAGATATTAGGTTCAGACCTCATCCCAATGAGAGTTGGCATAATTGTTAAAGATATACTAGGAATATGTTTTAGTGTATTAAAAAATACAATATAAAATTTAACATAAACTTTCGTCAAATAATTAGCCCGACTAAATACATAGCATTGAAAGTTGAGCATCAAAGATTACAAATAAGGAACTTTGAAATTCATTTTCTTGCATTAAAAAATGGCAAATTATTGTGTGGACCATGGTCCACGCAGTGCTGTATGGACCATAATAAAAGGTACATTTTTAATATACTAAATATACATTATTTTTGTACTGAATGTACATTATACAATATAATGTACACTCAGTGCAAAAATAATGTACATTCCCTGAATACAATTTACATTATTTTTGTACTGAATGTACATTATTTTACAGTATACAAAATATGGTCCATACAGCTTGTATGCACCATGGTCCACACAAGAATGATTTAAAAAAAAAAAAAAGGCAGAAGGGTCAAATAGGCCCATGTACTAATATTGATTGTTCATTTAGAACCATGAATTAAAACATGGTCCATCTAGGTTATTATACTCCCAATTATTTTTCATCTAGCATTTTTAGCAAGTTTCCAACAAGTAACCATCTAATTTGCTTAAATGGAAAAATAAAATTAAAATAAAATGCTGACATGTTAATTTTTTCATCTAACTTGTTGTTTAGTCACTTCTTTTGGCAAAAAAATTCAATTTGTTTTTACGTATTTCTAGATTATGTTGATTTCTTCTACGAATTTTCCAGAAAACAATAAATCTATTTTTCCATCGGCTGTGAAATAAGTATGTTACCGCTTTTGTGGTTTTTGAACCCATTTATTGGCATTGGCATTGGCATTGACATTGGTTTTTATTTTGGTTTTGGATGGTGCTCTTATTAGGCTCTTCAGTACATACCTGAGATTAAGGAGCTTGGAAGGGAGCTGGTTACTAGACTAAGGGACAACGATGATCTGTATATTGGTCTTCATTTGAGGTATAATAACTAACACGACTAATACCTTTACATGTTTTCACACTTAATACTCGCAACAGAGGAGGATTTGGAATCTTTAAAGCCATATCAGAAATCAACATAATCTAGAAATATGTAAAAAAAAAAAAAATTGAAAGAATTTTTCTGCGGAGAAAAAGTGACCAGAACAACAAGTTAGATGAACAAATAACTTGTCAGCATTTTGTTTTTATTTTATTTTCCCATGTAAGCAGATTAGATGGGCTACTTGTTAGAAACTTTCTAAAAATGCTAGATGAAAAATAATTGAGAGTATAATAGCTTAGATGGACCATATTTTAATTTATGGGGCTAGATGAACAATCAATGTTAGTACATGGACATATTTGACCTTTCTGCCTTTTTTTTTTAAAAAAAAGTAACTAGTTTAGGTTAAGTTTTTAATTTCTTTTTTTTTTTTCGTTTAATTAATCTTGTTTTCATTATATTTTGAATAAGACTTAATATTTCAATTATGTTTTTACATTATTGGGAATGATTTAGGTCATTATGGTATTAATATTTTTTGTCTGTATTTCTATAATGGTAAAATTGTATAATACTTTTACAAAATTGTTCTTACATCATTGTCTGACATGCGCAACCTAACTACAAAGTTGTTGATCAGAAATATAATACTACTACACCTGGACTCTAAACGGTAGGACCATTGTCCAAAGAATTGACAATGTTGACATCTCACTAGCTCCAATTGAAAAAATTTACACATCATTCTCAGAATTTTATCAATGCATGAAAACTTCTAAAGAAATTTGTAAGTTAATTTTTACTATATTATTATAACAATGTCTATTGTAACCATATATTTTGAATTATTTATCTCCATCCTCTATTGACAACAATTGTAGCAATTGTCATTGACAAACTCCCAAAACAATTTGTCTCAAAAACGAATGGAAATAAAAAAAATTAATGACTTCATTGTTGTGTATGAAAAGTAAATACCAACTCTATTACTTTACTCTTATTAAATTAAATAAATTAGTAGCTACAACAAAAAATAATACATATGTACCTCGTATTTCTTTAATTTAGAATTGGATATTAACCTTTATTTAAAAATATTATTCATTATCAAAAAATTTAAAAAGAAATATAATTTCATTTGTTATATTGTATTTATTTTCTACAATGCAAAGATTCATTACCTTCAAATTGATTAATTAATTATATTCACTACATTGTACATTTTCTTCTTTTTATACCATCTTGTAATTAAATATCAATGTTATAATATAAAATATGTTATATATATATATATATATATATATATATATATATATATATATATATATATTTACCAATTATTTTATTAATACCATGGTTGCAGTAGGCACTAGGCGCTAGTCAGGCAGCGTCTAGCGCCTAGGCGGGTGCCAAAAAAACAGTGGTAGACATGCAATTTGACAATTTTAATGAGGTTATTTTCAACATTTAATCAAATAACACATCCAAATAAATGAATTAATGATAATTCATAAGTCATAACATCAAAAAAATGGTTTTCAAAAAAAAAATATTAAAACAATATTAAAAATTAAAAACACTCAAATATGAAATACTCAAATACTTCAATCATCCAAAGATTCAAAGTATCAAAATAGTCTACGAGTGTATATATGTCATATTATATATATGTATGCGCGCACACACACACACATATATAATAAAAGAATAGGTCGAGCCGATCGAGTTAACTCGACCGAAATGGACGAGTTAACTCGACTAACTTAGACGCTAGGCGGCCAAATCGGCCGAGTTAGGCGCTAGGCGGACGCCTAGGCAGCCGGTAACCTAGGCGAGCGCCTAGGGGGGAAATCGCCACGGTCTAGAGGCGCGTAGCGCCTAGGCAGTGCTTAAGCGGGCGCCTAGACCGATTTTTACAACCCTGATTAATACCATGGAAAAAAATAAAAAATAATTTGAAGCCAATCATATTAACAACTTAGGGTGAATTTGTTGACAAAGAGAGTATTCAAATAATCCAAGAAATTGAATCGGGAAACTACCCCGTAATATTTTTGGACTACATCACAGTTGTTCACTTTAAAGGTAAATCATATTTTTTTAATAAGATTTGATTTAAAATGTATATATTTTTACTACTTTATATAATCTTACTCCTTAAATAAACTAGAAATTTCTCTATTCACAAGAACTCATTCAACAATAATGTTGAACCAAAAGTACCTCGAGCAGAACACCTAAAGGACTGATATGCTTTTATGCTGATAATAATATGTAAATGGTAATTAGATCACATCTTATGTAGCTACATTTAAAATCATTATTAAAAATGTCAGTATATGGCAATAGAACATCGTGACACATTTGATGTATTAAAAAGATGTCGACACTACAACAATGCTGCAATCAATCTTGCAAATCTAGAAAATGAAGAAATTTCAAAATAGCCACCATTACAACATTCATTGATCTTGTATGTAAAGTACTTATTGTGCATCTTTTAAATATATTACAACTAATACAAATTTACAATTCATTTTATTTTATAGACTCAACCTATTTTGATTAGAGGCAAAATCAACATCAACATTGATAACAAAAACACTCAGTATTTGGACTACCTGCAGAGTCATTGTTGTTACTATCAAGTAAACAAGTTATAGAACTAGAACAAGAGGTACTACTCATGAACCTTCTACAAATATAATAAATACTAATATTTTGGCCAATACTTTCACATGAGAATCTACGACACACATCTCACAACACATGAAATTAAACATGTAGGGGAAAAACTACTACGGCTAAATATCAACAGACGCTTGCAATATCAAAAGTTCATAGTATAACTAAGATCATAGTCATATACATGACAAGGCAAATTCACAACTTCCTAAACCATAATCTCATTGCATGATGTTGTCCTCTATGCTACCAGCAGTAACTCAATTGCACATGACACACTATTAATAAAAAGAAGAAGACACGTACTGAAGATGAAGACAATGACAATGACAATGCTACCCAAAAGAGAATTTAAAAAACTTATAGAAATTCAAACCAAAAGTAGTATTTATTCAGAGTATCATTTTTAGACTAAGTATTTAGACTAGCGTTATTACAAATTAAAGTTGCAAACATTTATTTTAGTGACACTTATAATCAATCTCTCCTATATTATATTGCATTCATATACATTGAATTACTGATTTAAATAAACAAATTCAACATTGAATTACTTATACATGAACATCTCCTATATAATCTTATATTGATATACTTTGAAGTGCCTATTTAAAAATAAACATTAGACATTATCCCATTTGCACAATGCGCATGAAAAACTAGTATAACATATACACATAAATGTATCCACATGTTTTTTATTTTTATTTTATTTTATTTTATTTTTTTTAAATTTTATCTAAGGGAGGGGGAACACCCCGACTCAACAAGCTAACTAACTATTTTTCGCCAAACCGGAACTCCGGCCAAATCATCTTCTAATTCTCTGCTTATTTCCTCCGGAGGATGGCTGAGGAGGTGGACACCGGGTGGCGAGGAGAAGGATAATCTATCCAGTCTGTCTGCCACTGCATTTTGCTCTCTAGCAACATGCGTAATCTGCCACTCGTTTAAGTCTTTTAGTTCAGTTCTGTTAGAATAAATACATCACATTCAAACTATAACTATAATATGTGACACAGGATCGTACTAACCTCCAGCCATAGTTCTTGTATTGATGATGATTGAATGATCCGGACTGCTGCAGAGATAACATGAGTATTTTGTCTCTCACTTTTATTCAGCGCTCTCTAGATGATGTATGAGGTATGTAATGTGAGCAGTGAGAGGACTAGTGACCTTATATAACCACTAGCCATCATTGTGGTTGTATGTCTTTAGGTCTCCTAAACCCTAACCAGACTCCTAATCATAATGATAGTCTAGCTATAAGGTTATTAGTGTTGCACCACATATCAAATACTTAATATTATTATAACTTATCCTAATGTTATAATAATAACTTATAGGAAAACGTTACATTCTCCCACTTGGTGCAAACACCACAACTCAATAACAGAAAAACACCAACCATAATGATATGCTCTCATTAGCGCAAGTAGTATCCATTATAATTAAATGCAAACTGCCATTGAGCACTTAATTAGGAAACCAAACCTAATGAAACAAATCCTATGTTTATTCCAAGTCCAACTGAAGTACATTTTCTCAGTAATATAAAGCAAATGAAGGTGTACACACTTAATTGAGAAAAAATGTCTGAATGCAAAAGAATTTTTATTGACACTGAATGTATATACAAATTAGAAAGTGGACGAAAGTCCCATTTTCTGAACCAGATCCTTGAATTTAAATGGAGGCATGCCTTTAGTCAATGGATCTGCTAACATCAACTCAGTACTAATGTGTTCAATGAATACAACTTTATTTTTAACACGCTCCCTAATAGCTAAGAACTTGATGTCGTTGTGCTTAGTGCGACTCCCACTTTTGTCATTCTTAGCTAGGAAAACTACAGCTGAGTTGTCACAGTAGACATTCAATGGCTTAGATATAGAGTCCACAATTCTAAGCCCAGAGATAAAATTCTTTAGCCAAACACCTTGTGAAGTAGCCTCGAAATAGGAAACGAACTCGGCTTCTATGGTAGAAGTAGATATTAAGGATTGTTTAACACTTCTCCATGAGATAGCCCCACCAGCCATAAAGAAGACATACCCTGAAGTTGATTTTCGGGAATCAATACAGTTAGCAAAGTCCGCATCAGAATAACCGACAACAACCAAATTGTCCGTCTGCCTAAACCCAAGATTGTAATCTTTGGTCCTTTTTAGATACCTTAGAACCCTCTTCACAGCTCCCCAATGGTCTAACCCTGGATTGTGCAGGTAACATCTTAGCATCCCGACCACAAAAGCAATATCTGGCATTGTACAAACTTGAATATATCCAAGACATCCAACTGTTGCAGCATAAGGAATGTTCTCCATGGATTCTTTCTCCAAATCATTCTTCGGGCATTGATCCAAATTGAATTTTTCCCCCTTTTCTATGGGGGCAACAACGCTTGGTGAACAATTTTGCATCTGAAACCTCTCTAAAACTTTGTTTATATAGGTTTCTTGAGAAAATGCCAATAACATAAGAGGCATCACCCATATCCTTCATATCAAAGTTTTTAGAAAGAAATTGTTTCATGTCACGAAGCATCCTTTTATCATTGGTGGCAAGTAAAATATCATCCACATATAAAACAAGAAAACATATTTTACTCCCACTCACCTTCTGGTATATACAATGATCTGCGGGATTTTCAACAAAACCAAATGAAGAAATTACCTCATCGAACTTGATATACCATTGACGGGAAGCTTGTTTTAAACCGTATATAGATTTCTTAATCTTACAAACTAAATTCTCACCACCCCTAGAAGAGAAACCTTCAGGTTGTTTCATATAAACCTCCTCTTCTAGGTCACTATTAAGGGAAGCGGTTTTCACATACATTTGTTGCAACTCAAGATTAAAATGTGCAACTAAAGCTAGTATGAATCGAAGTGAATCTTTCTTTGATACAGGAGAAAAGGTCTCCTTGTAATCGATTCCTTCTTTTTTAGTAAATCCCTTGGCAACAAGTCGGGCCTTGTATCTCTCAACAAGTCAGACTATGCACAATTTGTGGCTTGAGAGAATGTTTCAAGATCATTTTCGGCTCCTTTGTCAGATTCAGATTCTTGTAGATAGTGACATAATAATTAGGGACTGCTGAACGTCTTATCCGAGTAGACCGTCTTAATGTTGGTACTCCACCGCCTTGCACAGGCTGCGGGGCAACTACCTCTTCAGGAACTGGTGGCAAATGGTCGAGCAATCACCGATCTTATTTACATTAAGAATTCCTGTTCGCAGACGGTTCGAAATATTTACAGCAAATAATTTACAAGTACAATACGACAAATGGGGCCCACTCGCAGGTCGAGCCCCCACTTCGTCAGTTATTACAATAAACAGGCTAATGCCTGAACAAAATGAGGTGCTCGGAATTCCAAGTGCCCTCGATCTGCCTACCGGTCGTCGTCTCTAGTCGCTAGGTTCCCGGCCGTATAACGGCGGTGATGACATACGGCCCTTCCCAGTTTTGAGCTAGCTTTCCTCCTTCCAAAGGCTGACTGGCATCCCGTCGGCGTAGGACGTAATATCCGACCTGAAAGTACCGAGGGTTAACCCTGACATCCCTTGAACTCTTCACTCGCTTCTGGTACTCGGCCATACGCCGAGCGGCTAGCTCTGTCTTTTCTTCAACCCCGTCGAGATCCACGACCATCGAGTGTTCGTTCTCTTCTGCATTATAGGTCCGTTCTCTGGCGGTCGGGATCCATGCCTCGATCGGGAGTCGAGCTTCGGCCCCATAGACAAGGGCAAATGGCGTCTCCAAAGTTGCTTCCCTTGGGGTTGTCCGATAAGTCCAGAGAACATATGATAACTCCTCGTCCCAACTTCGATCAGCCGAGTGCAGCTTCTTCTTCAGACCTTCTAGGATTGTCCGATTAACATTCTCGACATGTCCATTTCCCTGAGGGTAAGCCACCGATGACCGGATGTGGGTTGTCCCGACAGTGGCGAGAAAACTTTGGAAATATTGGCTCACAAATTGGCGGCCATTGTCGCTAATGAGATGAACGGGCACACCAAACCGGGAGACGACATTGCGCCAGAGAAAACGAGCACATTGTTGGGAGGTAATCGTGGCTAACGGCTCGGCCTCGATCCATTTAGAGAAATAATCGATAGCGACGATGACAAACTTTCTCCGACCGGCAAGCTGTGGGAACGGCCCCAAAATATCTACCCCCACCTTGCAAAAGGAATTACAGTCGTGACCGGCTGGTAGAACGTAGCCAGTCGTTCGGGCATCCGAGCAAACAACTGACACGTCTCACAATCTCGAGCAAGCTTCTCGCAATCTAACTGGAGAGACGGCCAATAATACCCGATCAGCATGATTCGACGAGCTAACGATCGGCCTCCTTGATGCGATGAGCAGATGCCCGAATGCAATTCCTTCATCACCAAATCAGCTTCAAACGCGGTCAAATACCGCATGAGAAGTCTTCCATACGACCGCCTATACAGACGACCGTCTTGGATCTGAAACCTCGGAGCTCTGAGCTTGGCTTTCCGAGCACGCTGAGGGTCGTCTGGAAGCCGACCGTGATCAAGGAATTCCATCAGATCGGTGATCCAGTTGTCTTCTGTCGGTTGGATAGGAGCGACCGGCAAACGGTGAATACTGTGCTTCGGGATCATCAAAATCCGAGCGCTCTTCGACATATGCTCTGGGGCGTCTTGAGCCAATTTGGACAAGATGTCCACATCAGCATTATCTAATCGGGGTACATGTCGAATTGTATATCCCCGAAACAAGGCGAGCTTCTCCATTGCGAGGTCCCGGTAGGCTTGTAATCGCTCGCCGTTCACTTCATAATCACCCAGGACCTGTCCGACAACGAGCGCGGAATCTGTTTGATCCCGGATGTACTCAGCCCCCAAGTCCCGAGCACATTGCAAGCCATTGACAAAGGCTTCGTAATCGGCTTCGCTGTTGGTCTGGTGGAACTGATACATTAAAGCGAAGTAGACATTGAATCCCTCCGGGCTCGTAACAACCACTCCTCCTCCGGCCCCTTTCTTACTGCTAGACCCATCTGTTGCCAGCGACCACCACTCCGCCTCTGGGTCTTCAACCTCCGGGGGTCGGGAATCTCGAGCGGTGCACTCGACCAAGAAATCTGCAAGATCTTGACCTTTGATGGCTGGTCTTGGTCGGTATTCAATCGCATATTGGGTTAACATCAACGCCCACTTGACTAGGCGACCGGATGACGAGGCATTGCAGAAGACCGGGCCGATCGGCTGATCGGTCAACACACGAATAGCTCTACCTTGAAAATAGGGAGCTAGCTTCTTCGCGACAATATACAAGGCGTAGACGACCTTCTCTAGCCGGGAGTACCGGAGCTCGGGACCATGTAGCGCGTGTATTACATAGTACACCGGTCGCTGGACCCCTTCCGGATCAGTTCGGCACAATACTGTACTTACTGCCCGATCCAATACGGCGAGGTACACGTCTAGCTCTTCTCCGAGCTCAGGCTTTGACAGTACGATCTGTGACATAAGATATTATTTTTGCTCGTCGAAAGCCGCTCGGCACTCATCGTCCTAAACGAATCCATTCACCTTGCGCAATACCTTGAAGAATGGTAAAGCGCGCTCGGCTAATTTGGAGAGAAATCGGCTTATTGCAGCCAACCGACCGGTTAGTTGCTGGACCTCCCGAATAGTGGTAGGTGGTTGCATGTCCAGAATTGCTTTAACCTTGGCCGGGTTGGGCTCGATCCCTCTCTTGGCCATCATATAGCCGAGGAACTTCCCTGTTTGAACCGCAAATGTGCACTTGGTTGGGTTCAATCTCAGTTGATACCTCTTCATAATCTGAAAGCATTCCCAGAGATCCCGAGTGTGGTCGGATCGGTCCCGACTCTTGACAGCATATCGTCGATGTATGCTTCCATCGTTTGACCTAATAGATCAGCGAAAAGCATATTGACCATTCTCTGATAGGTCGCTCCTGCATTGCAGAGGCCGAACGGCATCACTCGGTAGCAATACAACCCATCCGCGGTCACGAAGGCTGTCTTGCTCTCGTCTTCATGGTGCATCATGATTTGATGATACCCCTTGAAAGCATCCATGAAGCTCATTAATTCGACCACGGCCGTCTTGTCGACCATTTGATGGATGCTCGGGAGCGGATAAGGGTCGAGCGGACAGGCCTTGTTGAGGTCGGCGAAGTCTATGCACATCATCCAAGCTGGGTGTAACACCCCGTTTTACGACCCCTAATTATTTAAATCACTTACCCTAAAAAGAGAATTAAAAACCCATTAATTAACTAAGAAAGGTCCACCATAGTCCATGGGCCCACATCCCTATAACCAACCCCTTAGTCCTATAAGGAATAGAATTAACAAGCCCATAGTATTTAGACCCCAATTAGGACTCTTGGGAATATATATCATAGGAGGCACCTAGATCACACACCACAAATAATCTTTCACCACACAAGAAGTTCCAAGAATTCCCTTAGGAGAAATCAAGAAAGGGAGAAATCTTAAAGAAAGACCCTTCATAGCCAAGGAAATTAATTAAGGCTAAGAGGTAACCCATGTATCAACAAAACCTATTTTCTTCGCTATAATCTCCTTCCTTGGCCTCCCTCTATATTCTTGTGTCTTGATTGAATTCTTCTATGATAATGGTGTTATGTTCTTGATGATTGATAGGGTAATTTATATGCTTTCTTGATAATCTTGATGATTTTGATGTTAAAAAGAAGTTCTTGATTATGATATGATGATTCTCAAGGTTGCAAAAATCGCTAGGCGCCTGGGGACCGCCTAGGGCTCCTAGAACGCCTAGGCGGGCGCCTAGAGCGATTAATCGGCGCCTAGAGCGCCTAGGCGGGCGCCTAGGTGGCCGCCCGCCTAGCACCTAGGCGCCGAATTTTTGCAACACGGATGATTCTTGACGAATCTTGATATTCCTTGATGATAAAATATGTTCTTGATGATTTGGGTGGGATTAGAGCCCTAGGTTGGATTGGGAATTTGTATTGTGATGTTCTTGATTTATATTTGGGTGGGAATTCGCATGTTCGGGTGTTGTTTATATTTAGAAGTCATAATAGGATAAGTCCTACATGATTCTTGCTTTCGATCCGTTAATTGCTTACGTGATGTCGTTATTTGCGTTTAAAAGTGTCTAAGCATGGTTTCGGGTTCCATGAAGGTTCCCGGGACGAGTATATGAGTAAAGAGTCAGTGGGGGGTAGGTGGGGGTAGGGGAACCCACCACCTACCCGCTGCCCAAAGGGGCACTGCCCGGCAGCGGGCAGCCACCGGGCAGCCTACTGCCCGCCGGCAACCCGCTGCCCGGAACAGTGCCCTCCGGCGGGCAGCCGGCGGGTGACCCCCACCCACCGGCTACCCGCTGGTCCGTACCCTACCCCGGGTCCTCGGCTTCCCCGTTTGATGTTCCCCATTCCCCGTGGTGTCCCAACGGACCCCGTTTGTCGTGCTTGAGTCTAGTTTGATGTTTCAGGTTCCATTCGTAGGCTAGACAAGTTTTAGGGATTGCATGCTAGTTGAATTGGTGACCCGGTGACCTAGGTGGAAGTTGTATGAACCCTTATGACTATTCGTAGCATGTGAATGATCACACGTAAGTTTATTTATATGTTTTTCCCCTCCCGATATGCCATTACGTGCTCCAATGTGTTATGTGTTGCATGATCCCCCATTTTGGTTATAGGCCAATTGGGTGGTTCCCCGATTAAAGTTCGGAAGTCGGCTGAAGGCTGAATGGATTGTTCCCGGACTAAGGTTCGGAAGTCGGCTGAAGGCCGAATGGATTGTTCTCGGACTAAAGGTTCGAAAGTGGCTGAAGGCCAAATGGATTGTTCCTGAGCTAAGGCTCAGAAGTGGCTAAGGCCAAATTGATTCACTTCTTGGACTACAGGTCCAATTATGGGCCTCGGTGCTATGACCCACCGGACCTGAACGCGCCAGGACGGTGTGTAGGGCCAATAAGCCGAGGAAGGCTGTAGTCCACCGACCTGAGTAATCAGGCGGTGTGTAGGGCTACGGCTGGCTGCGATCCACCGAATGATGGGACAGCGGTGTGTAGGGCCATAGTCTTCGAGGATCTTCGCCCACCGACTGAGTATAGCTCAGCGGTAAGCCGGGCTTGACCGCGGTCCACCGACTGTGCACATCGACGGTGTGTAGTGTCGTAGGTCCGCCCTTGTAAAGGGGATCGCGGTCCACCGACTGTGTGCGTCAGCGGTGTGTCGGATCGTGGTCCGACGTTGAGTTCGTCAGCGGTTCTCATAGGGTTGGTTGCGATCAACTCCCCTCATGCCGCGGTACTGAGGTAGGGTGCTGCGGGGCCATGTTAATGCTATAAGCATTAACCCTCATGTTCGGGGCATGCGATTGGTCCCGTGGCGCCATCAATGATTATGTGATATGAATGAGGATTGAATGATGATGTGTTTTGAAATTGGAAAGTGATCTGCGACCTTAAAAGCGTATTCCTTATGATGTCATCTGTACTTAACTATTTATTAATGTTTGATGCGCTCATCCCTATTTGCTGAGTCTATTCCCGGCTTTTAAAATTAGTGTCTCTTAAGTATTCATCTTCCTGCTTCGAAATGGTTTTTCATATATCTATCTATAATGTATTTCAACGCGTTAGAGTGGGTTACTAGCAACTCTCGCTGAACAGATATATTTGGCTTTCAGGCACAGATGAGTAGACACTGGATCGCGATAGAGATTTGGAGCGTAGAGTAGATAGTTTCCCTTCCGGCCTGCGTTCCATGCTTATGTATTGACATTATTGAGGATTTTAGTTAGTTAGCCTGTGCACCTGAGTTCTCTAGCTCAGGTGTGGCATAGCACCCATACTCTATTATATTTTGGGATTTATTGAGAATTTACCTTTATTATATAAGTCTTAAAAGTTGAACAATTTCGGGGTGTTACAGTTGGTATCAAAGCCTAAGTTGACCCTAGGATAAGACTCTTAAGACCGGACTTTAGGGCATTAGGCTTGAACTCTAGGTATTTGGGAACACAGGACTTAGGAATCTTAGGACGCCCGCGGTGAGATTGTGAAACCTACCTATCATCACACAACCTCCCCTCACTCATTTAAAGAACTCCCCTTCGCTTATCACGACAAGGTAAGGGTACAACCCTCTAAATCATTATAAACATTGGTTCTATAGATCAAGCAAGCATGGCACCGAACAGAAGACAATCAAGGACTCCGGAACCCGCCGCACACGACCCCCTGACTCAAACCCTGCAGTAACTCACTGACGTAGCCCTCTGCAACAACAGACCATCACTCCCTCCACCAAACACAAACTCAGAAGCTGCCCGACAAGTCTCAAACCATCGACCACCCACATTCTCGGGTGAAGAAGATCCCGTCATCCTCGAAGAATGGATACAGACCTTCGACAAGATTCTAGGGCTAGTAGAATGCCCAGAAGAACGTCGTGTAGAGATAGCCTCATTCTACTTCGGACACGAGGCAGACCTTTGGTGGATCCACGAGGGACCCACTTATAGACAAGAACCAGGATTCAACTGGGAAAACCTGAAAACACGCCTGCGAGAACGATTCTACCCGACACGCGTAAAAGCTTCCATGCACGAAGAGTTCCTCCACCTAAAACAAGGAACAACTACCGTCACGGAGTACCATAAATGATTCCTCGAACTGGCACACTTCGCGCCAGAACTGGTCCCCACGGAATCAACCAAAATCGAAAGGTTTATATCAGGCCTCAACTTCGAAGCTCGAAAGGCACTAATAGTAAGCGGACCCCGGACCCTCAACAAAGCTTACACCAGCGCCGCTAATCTCTATCAAATCCAATTACTACAACGTGGGGTACAAGATCAGATTCGAAAGAGGAACACAAGAGGAGGAGCACCGCCAATAAAAAGAACAAGAACCGATACCAACACAAGGCCAAGCAACCCAACTGGACAAAGACCACCCCCAAGAAACAACGAAACTAATACAGGGGGCTTCACTTGCCCGAAATGCCACAAAAGCCATAGAGGCAAGGACTGCATGGGAAACCCCTTGCGATGCTTCAATTGTGGGAAAGAAGGGCACAAGGCCTTCCACTGCATGCAACCCTCAAGCTCACGCCCCACGACCATGGGCCAACACGGAGGCACGAGCAATCAAGGGAATCACGGTGCCCCCGGAAAAGTATTCATCATGAGCCGCACACAAGCCGAACTTGGGAACGAGGGCAGCCTCGACGAAGAAAACATGACCCCGGAAGACGAGGATCACGCAAATCCACCAGAGGAAAACCAAGAAGATGAATTCTGTTTAGGATAAACTAAGAAACCCCTTGTAACCACCCTTATAGTAAAACTACTTGTTTAACTTAGCCACTTCGGAATCATTTTAAATAAGATCAAAATATTTAAGTATAAGTAAAGGAAACTAGACAACAACAAACCACAAAGAAAGCATAAGTAAAGGAAACTAGACAACAACAAACCACAAAGAGGACCAATCAAATTCCCCACCACTAGAAGACAAAAGAAGGAAAAAAGACAAGGAACACACAACAAAGAAGGCTAGTGTCAACAATGAGAATAGAACCTCGGACCTCCCACTTATAAAGCAAAGCTTTAACCACTAAGCTATAAGTGTTTCTTAAAACCTCAAGGGAACACTCCCTTCTTAAACCTCCACAAATCCCTAAAAACCCCAAAACCCCAAATCAAAAACCCTTCTCCTTCTTCTTCTTCCCCACTCTCTCTCTCTCTCTCCCCTCACCCCCATCAACCCGCCATCTTCCCCACCTTCACACACCTGCCGCCGCACCACCCTCCACCATCACACTCGCCGCCCTACGCCCCGCCGATGAAACACCACCGAAGCCGGCTAACGCCCACATGCCGCCACGGAGCCGGAGTCCACCCGCGCCGAGCCCACTGCCACGGCGAACCCGCCACTCGCCCGGCCACCGCCCACTGCCAGCATTAGCCACCTGCTCCGCCCGGCCCTCGCACCCTCGCCGCCGACCCCGAAACAGTGAGCCACGCCACCGCCCCTCGCCGCCGGAACCTCGCCGGAGTCTCGCCGGAGCCCCACCGGAAAACGCCACCTAGGAGAGAAAATTAAAATGCCGAAAAAGCCCCTCGGAATCCGCACCCCGGAATGGAACAATGCGGACTACACCGTGATCGGAGGTAAAGCCCTCGAACCCGACCAGTTCTCTCCGGAGTTGGTCGACATGCTTAATTTCCAAGGACTCTTGGATATGTATCTCACCATTAAAGGGGATACATACCCCGAATTGGTGAATGAGTTCTATCATCATTTGGTAGCCGTTAAGCGGGGCGATAAAATGGAAATTACCGCCAAAGTCCGAGGCAAGGAAATCATACTTTCTGAAGGCCGCTTGGCCAAACTCTTAAGACTGACCACCACGGGTGTGTCAGACTACGACCGGAAGGGATGGATTGGTACCCAAAACATGGATACAAGGACTACCTGGGTACCTACCCGGGAGAGAAGAAGGTTTCACCTCGGCCACACGGCAGAACAGGAAATGGCTAACTGCGGAGCAAAAGATATTGGTCATGATTGTAACTGATAGCCTGTTGCCTACAAATAACAAAAGCAAGGATGTGGGAAGTTTGGAGTGCACGTTTGCTTACCTCCTGAAACACAAAATCAAGTTCAATCTACCGGCCCTCATATTGAAGCACATGGAGTTTTGCAAGACTAGTAACCGACTTAGTCTACCCTACGGGATGATCCTGAGTTGGATCATGGAGAAGAAAGGAGTGGACCTAAGCCACACAGAGATCAAGCCCACAAACGGCATGGTTTTCAATGCCCAAAAACCTCCGTCGTAATGATATCTACTACACCGAAGGGGGCAGTACATCACCCTCGAGGAAATTTACCTTAAACCCGAGGAGGAGCAAAGAGAATTGGTTGATCGATTGGACATCTCCAGCAAAAAGCTTAAACGAGCAATGCAAGATTGTGGGGGGCTAGAGGGAAATGAGGATAGCGAACCTAACCCACCGGCACCCGCACGAACAGAAGAAAACCCAAGGGACCAAAATGAAGAATCCGTCAACGAGCGCATCCTCACATAGCTCACCCGGCAAAACCAAATCATGGACGAAGGGTTCTCATCCCTAATCCGTGCAACACGCGCTTTGGACCAAATGGTGGCAACTATCGAGGCCATGTTGGGCACTCACGGGGCGTCCAGCTCAGGAGCAGGAGACCAAGGTAGACCCGAACCTTCCAAACCACCACCTCACCCGAAATCCAGTCTACCCCAATGAAGGCAGCACGTGGAGCCACAACTCCTAACCGGGAGGCCAAAATACGTGACACCTAGGGGTGAAAGAGTGGATCCACGCACCGGCTTCGCGGACGAAGCCTCTTCTAAGGGGGGGGGGGGAGTGTGTAACACCCCGTGTTACGACCCCTAATTATTTAAATCACTTACCCTAAAAAGAGAATTAAAAACCCATTAATCAACTAAGAAAGGTCCACCATAGTCCATGGGCCCACATCCCTATAACCAACCCCTTAGTCCTATAAGGAATAGAATTAACAAGCCCATAGTATTTAGACCCCAATTAGGACTCTTGGGAATATATATATATATATATATATATATATATATATATATATATATATATATATATATATATATATATATATATATATATATATAGGGGCATAGGAGGCACCTAGATCACACACCACAAATAATCTTTCACCACACAAGACGTTCCAAGAATTCCCTTAGGAGAAATCTTAAAGAAAGACCCTTCATAGCCAAGGAAATTAATTAAGGCTAAGAGGTAACCCATGTCTCAACAAAATCTATTTTCTTCGCTATAATCTCCTTCCTTGGCCTCCCTCTATATTCTTGTGTCTTGATTGAATTCTTCTAAGATAATGGTGTTATGTTATTGATGATTGATAGGGTAATTTATATGCTTTCTTGATAATCTTGATGATCTTGATGTTAAAAAGAATTTCTTGATTATGATATGATGATTCTTGACGAATCTTGATATTCCTTGATGATAAAATATGTTCTTGATGATTTGGGTGGGATTAGAGCCCAAGGTTGGATTGGGAATTTGTATTGTGATGTTCTTGATATATATTTGGGTGGGAATTCGCATGTTCGGGTGTTGTTTATATTTAGAAGTCATAATAGGATAAGTCCTACATGATTCTTGCTTTCGATCCGTTAATTGCTTACGCGATGTCGTTATTTGCGTTTAAAAGTGTCTAAGCATGGTTTCGGGTTCCACGAAGGTTCCCGGGACGAGTATATGAGTAAAGAGTAAGTCGGGGGTAGGTGGGAGTGGGGGAACCCACCACCTACTCGCTGCCCAAAGGGGCACTGCCCGGCAGCGGGCAGCCACCGGGCAGCCGACTGCCCGCCGGCAATCCGCTACCCGGAACAGTGCCCTCCGGCGGGCAGCCGGCGGGTGACCCCCACTCACCGGCTGCCCGCTGGTCCGTACCCCACCCCGGGTCCCCGACTTCCCCATTTGATGTTCCCCATTCCCCGTGGTGTCCCAACGGACCCCGTTTGTCGTGCTTGAGTCTAGTTTGATGTTTCGGGTTCCATTCGTAGGCTAGACGAGTTTTAGGGATTGCATGCTAGTTGAATTGGTGACCCGGTGACCTAGGTGGAAGTTGTATGAACCCTTAGGACTATTCGTAGCATGTGAATGATCACACGTAAGTTTATTTATATGTTTTTCCCCTCCCGATATGCCATTACGTGTTCCTATGTGTTATGTGTTGCATGATCCCCCATTTTGGTTATAGGCCAATTGGGTGGTTCCCGGACTAAGGTTCGGAAGTCGGCTGAAGGCCGAATGGATTGTTCCCGGACTAAGGTTCGGAAGTCAGCTGAAGGCCGAATGGATTGTTCTCGGACTAAAGGTTCGGAAGTGGCTGAAGGCCAAATGGATTGTTCCTGAGCTAAGGCTCAGAAGTGGCTAAGGCCAAATTGATTCACTTCTTGGATTAGAGGTCCAATTATGGGCCTCGGTGCTATGACTCACCGGACCTGAACGCTCCAGGACGGTGTGTAGGGCCAATAAGCCGAGGAAGGCTGTAGT